TTTTTTTTAAGGTTCTGTAGGGTAGGGGGCATTGTTGGGGGGGAGTACATACCTTTGAGGGGTCAGAAGTTGCAAACTATTGGCAAATGTAAAGGGGTTCGTCTTACGAAACAAGCGACGGTGTCGTGACTGTAGCAATTGCATTGCCGGGGCAGGCAGTGTGGCAACGTACTCACATGTAAAGTTGTTATCACTTGTTACCTGATGCAGACACAGAAACACTGCATAGCCAGCAAAATAGAACACTGCAAATGGGCAAATGACAGAAAACCCCACATGCACACTGCAAAACGGGAATAATGGACAAAATGGTAACTTAAAGACTTAACTTAGGTAAGTTACTTAACTGATGATGAGAAGATGAACTACAATTTCTAGAAGTTGTAGTTCACAGTTCTTACTTCGTTCTAAGTTCAACAAAAAATCGAAAGATAAACCGCAAAACCGCAAACTTTGCAGTCAACGACATCAACTCCGCCTAAATTTCCTAATCCTCTGCACCTCCCCGTGCAGAAGCCTCACCCTCTTCCTCTGCAACCCCTTCCTCTTTCTCCTCCCCTTCATCTTCCCCATCCCCTTCCTCTTCCTCCTCGCCTTCCTCTTCCTCCTCCTCGTGCTCAGTTCCCTCCTCTACACTCCGCAGTTCTTTGTCGTTGGCATCATGACCTTCATCATCCCCTTCCTCTGATGAAGTTGAAGACGATGAACGTGCTTTTGTGCCGTCATCGTCGATGATGTTGTCCCTCTTTCTTGTTTTTGCTGCTGCTTTTTTCTTTCCGACGGATTTCTTTTTTCTCGATGCTTCCAACACTGCCTTTTTCTTCTCGGCTCGCATTGCTGCTTTTCTTGCTGCGACCTCTTTGAGGGTCGGTTGTCCTCAGGCTCTCTTCCGTTTCTCTGGAGGTGCAATGACCTCCTCCGCAGCACGTTTACCGTCACGACGATCTTCATCACCGCGCCGCACTTTACGTTGCCTGCTGCTTCCGCCTTCCTTTCGACCCTCCACTCAATCATCCGTCTCTCGAGCCCGCAGCGCAAGCTCCCGGTCATGCTTGTTATACGGCACTTCAGGTGTTGGGCGTTGATGGCCCAACAACCTCTGCAAGGCACGCTCCAGCTGCCTCCCCGGTCGAGTGTTGAAGTGTCAGTCGTTCATGTACTACTTATCTATGTGTGCAAGACCCTCCTCCTGGTCCATTGCATTGTCCACCTCGTCATTGCCCAACCACCTCCTTGCCATAGGCACTTCCTCGCCATCGTCGTCATCCTCCGACTCTTCTTCCTCGTCCGATGCGTCATTCTCGCCACTCGGCATGTTGTTCTTCACCCGTTTCACCCAATCATTGTAGAATTGCTCTGCCTCCTCCTTCAACTCGGCGTCCGACATTTCCTCCACCCACGGAATGTGGACATCATCCATATCACGGTCGTGCTCTTGCCTCCACTGCAGGTGGAGATTCCAATTGTTGTAGACGAGCTTTGATAGGTGGGTGGGCATAATCTTCGTCCTCCTCCTGCCAAAAACGAGCTCATGCAAACTCCAGTTGCGTTCGCATGCCGCGGATGAGCTTGCCTGGCTCAACAGTCTGATCACTTGGGGATGCAAAAGATGTAGCCGCGAGCCAAACACATCTCACCACTTTGTCGAGGTCCTAGTGCGTGTTGCGCGCAAAGCTTCCTCTGATTGCAAGGCCCCCCTCAAGTTCACCCACTCATCAACCCGCCAGCTCACGTCATCAAACATCTCGTCTGTGCACCAGGTGTACATCCATATGTTGAACCCGGCTCGGATCGCAGTATCTTTGAAGGAGCCCTGCGATATGTACTTCACGTCCAAGAAGGTTGTTGCACAGTGCAACTCTGAAGTCATGAACGCCTATCGATCCATGAGGATCGACTCGACCTCTGCCTTCTCGAAGTCTGTCAAGATGTCCAGCTTGCGAATCGACTCCACGACACCATCCATTCGATGATAAACCTTGGCGATTGTTGCGCCTGGAGCATCGATGAGCTTCAATAGCGTTACGATGGGGTTCGTGGTCCTCAAGGCCTTGTCCACCTGCTCCCAAAAGCCGCCATCCAAGATAGTCACTTTCACCTCCTCGAATTGGGAACACAGGTGGGGCGGCACTAGGGATAAGACCCGCCCGCTGGTAGCCACAATCAATTTCAGGGCATTTCTCTTGTGCCATAGCGACTGCAACATGATGATGTTGGCCGCGAATCGAGTGACGCCTGGCCTCTTAATCTGCACACCACCCGATTTGGTCAGGAAGAGTGCTCGAACCTTGTCGTGGTTCATCACAAACTTCCCCAACACATTCTCCCTCTTCACAGTCTGCGCAAACCACGGAATGCGCTTGTCCATGTCCTCTAACGCGAGATCAAGGGCATGCTTCGTACAACCCACCCAGAATATCCACGGGTATTTTTTTTCCACCAACTTCTCGGCCTTCACACAAACCCGGGCATTATCCATGATCACCCCAACCACGCTTCTTGGGCCAATCTCCTCAATCGCAGTGAAGAGTATTTTGTAATACGCACTAGCGTCTTTGTCCTTTCCCGCTACGCACACCGACTTCCAAAAGACAGTGCGGATGGGAGAGGATACCATGACATTTACGTGTGGTCTTCCCCGCCGGTTAGACCACCCATCTACTTGCACCATACAGCCAGTGCGAGCCCACTTCTTCGCCAATCTCCCAACGTCCTTGATCGCCCTCTGGTGTTGTCCGTTCAATCGGTTATTACGTGCCGCCTCTCTCGAGTGCAGTCTCCATGATGGGTGGGCCTCTCATATGGTGTTCACGATGTCGTTGAAGAACTCATTCTCAACCATGTTGAATGGTTGGTTCGTGCACGTCATCCAGCGGCTTACTCTTCTTGACGTATGCTCATTCTTTGTGACAACGTTGTCGGTCTCCTCCAACACCATTTGTCGCATTCGTGCAGCAGGCGCAACAGATGCACCTGTGCGATGCACTGTGATACTTGGCCCGTTGCCGCCCACCCCTTCGTCACAAGCGTCGCTCGCCGCTTCACCACAAGCATCACCCACCCCTTCGACTAAATCCCCGCCCGTAGAAGCAGCCAGCTTCTCAATATTTTCTTTGCGGTCAATGTTTTCGCCGATTTCCCAACTCCGCAAATCCCCTTCGTGAAATGTTCCTTCAGGCGATTGAGAGTGCCCAAAAATTTTAGATCGCAGTAATGGTAGAGCCACCACTTCCCCCCCTTCGAAGGATCCTTACCCGCGGGGCCAAGGACATCAAAATGGCGCTTGACAAGGCTGGCTTCATACTTGCGGCTCGACATGATGACCTGCACGCAGCAATAACAGAGCCAGAATATCAGTCCCGCTCCACAATGTACACCCTGTACTCAGCCACGCTCCCGCCGCTGCACCAGTCGAAACAAAAACGTCTAAGGAGAATAAAAAACGGCAACAAACGACAACCAGGAGTGCTATTTTTTTCTCCCTCTCTTCAAAGTTCAAAAGTCCCCAACTTTAATTAGTGGCCGAGATGTGGGGGTACATGAAGGCCAAAAGGAGGAGAGATGGAGGGGACATGAAAGACGCACGGAGGTTTGATGGACAGGAGTAGAGGGGAATATGGAAGACAAATGGCGGGGATAGGATGAGAGATGGAAGACACATAGGGGAGAAATGAAAGATAATTGGGGAGGAAAGATGGAGGAGAGATATAGGATAAATGTAGGAGAAAAGCAGGAGGGATGGAGGAGAGATGGAAGAGAGATGCGAGATAATAGTAGGAAAGATGGATGAGAGACGTAGGACAAACGGAGGAGGGATGGAGGAGAGATAGAGGAGAGATGGAGGAGGGATGAAGGAGAGATGGAAGAGAAATGGGGGAGAGATGGGAGTGATAGTAGGAAAGATGGAGGAAAGATGGAGGAGACATGGACTACAGATGTAGGAGAGATGGAGGAGGGATGGAGGAGAGTTGGAGGAGGGATGGAGGAGAGATGGAGGAGAAATGGAGGAGAGATGGAGGAGAGATGGAGGAGAGATGGGAGTAATAGTAGGAAAGATGGAGGAGAGGTGTACTATAGATGCAGGAGCAATGGACGAGAGATGGTGGAGAGATGGAGGAAAAATGGACGATAGGTGGACGAGACATGTAGGACAAATGGAGGAGAGATGGAGGAAAGATGGAGGGGGGAAGGACGAGATGGAGGATAAATGGAGGAGAGATGGAAAAGAGATGAACTACAAATGTGGGAGAAATGGAGGAGAGATGGAGGAGAGATGAGGAGAGATGGAGGAGAGATGTAGGAGAATTGGAGGAGAGATGGAGGAAGATGGAGAGAGATGGAGGAGAGATTCAGGAGAAATGGAGGAGGGGTGGAGGAGGGATGGAGGAGAGATAGAGAGGAGGGATGGAGGAGAGATGGAGGAGAAATGGAGGAGAGACGGATGACCAGTGGAGGAAAGATGAAAGATAATCCGAGGGAAGATGGAGGAAAGACGGAATGCAAAAAAAAAAAAAAAAAAAAAACTTTGCACCTCTCAATACGTCCTCCCTTCCCCTTCTCCCTTGTCCCTCCCTCCCTCCCTTCTACCTCACTTCTCCCTCCAGTTCTCCACTCATGCTAATGAAGAATGAGAGGGCTTTCAAACAGAGAGGGCTTTCAAAAAAAGTCCTCGTGCGAGTTATCCCCTTTTGACGAGTGAAGAACGAGAGGAGAAAGAGAAGGAAACCCCCTCGTTTCTCGCCCGAAATCCGATCGATTCGACGAACCCAAAAAAAACGAACTTATTATCTGCCCTGGGGGACGATGGGCTGGACGGCGCGAGGAAGTGAGGAGGGCGAGGGGAAGGAGGAAGACGACGGCCTGGAGAGGAGGACGACAGGGGTGGGAGGGGGGGGAAGGAGAACATGAGGGAGGGAGGAGGACGGCGAGGATGGAGAGGCGTACGACGAGGGGGGGGGGGAGGGGAAGCAGACGGGAAGGATCTTGAGAGGAAATGAGAAGGATGAGAGGGAAGATGGCAGCCTGCTGCTAGTTGCCCAAAATACAAACTGAAATGACTGTGCGTTCAGGTGAAGACGCAGGGGTGAAGCCTGTTCGGGTGAAGACGGTAGTTGCCTCAAATACAACTAAAATGACTGTGCGTTCTGCTTAGGTGAAGATGGCAGCCTGCTGCTTTATCCGTTGTTGTGGAGGAACCGAGGAGGACGATAAGGGGGGAGGAAGGGAACGAGAGGAAGTGAGGAGGACGAGGAGGATAACGAGGATGGAGAGGGGGACGATGAGGGATAAGAGGAGAAGAAGCGGATGGCAGGATGGCGACGGGAGGAAGTGTGGAGGAGGACGAAGACGAGGAGAAGCAAAAGAGGGGGGAGACGAGGAGAAGCAGAAGAGGGGGGAGACGAGGTGGAGATGGAGGAGGAGGATGAGCGGCAGAGGAGGACGAGGGGGAGGAGGACGACGGGCTGATGACACTCACCGTCGGGGACAGCAGTATGGCGACGGGCGGGACAGGCTGCTCCTCCTCAATGGCCACAAAGACGATACTCCTCCTCAACGGCTGCAACGACCGGCAAGATCGCGACGGGCGGAACGGCGGCGCAGCAGGATGGTGACGACGCGAATAGCAGATGGCCGGCGGCACTTTCCGCTGCGACTGCGTTTCAAACCAAGTGAGTAATGCCCTGAGTCGGGGTTTCAAATTTCAAAACCCCAAGGCGGTCCTCCCTTGAGCGCAGGCCGAAAAAAAAAAATTGGTGGTACTGGTCGCATTTTTTGAATGGGGCCTCGAAACTGCCGTTTCGACCCCCGTTTTTTTGGGGGGGGTCGGGGGTGGGGGTAACTGGTCGTCGGGCGCACATTCGTGCGCTGCGTGGATCTGGTCCGGTGGTCCGCCGCACGTGCGAAACCGTGTGACGAACCACTTCACAACCCCATGCCACCTTTCGTACCCTTTCTTTTGCTTATATCATACCAACCCCAGGAAGACCTCGTTTTGATTTCTTGCTTTCGGGTGCCGCATTTTCCTTTTTGAGAGCTTTTTTTCGACTGCTGAGTTCTGTTTTTCTTTTTGCAAAGTCGGGAAATACATGGGAATTTACGTGCACCTTAGCGAGCGCACTGGGAATTGGGCTCAGCAGTTGGGAATTCCGGGATAAGCGGAACTTCGACGTGTCCTTTTCGGGTGTGTGAATGTTCTTGGGCGCGTCGGGGAAAGCTTTCGGAATTTTGCGTGAATACGAATAGGCGTAGGATTTTCTTTTCCCGCGTCGCCTTTTCTCGCGCGGCTATGGTGATTTCAATTTTGAATTAGGAGAGAAGCAAGCCGTAACTGTTTCGGTGCCTTTTCTTTCTTTTTTGTTGATGGCGCCACGCATGCAGAGGCTTTCTCCTCTCTGTCCCCCGCATCGCTCCCTCCCGCGCTCCCTCTCCTTCTCCCTCCTCTTTTTGTCTCCCCGTAACTGTTTCTTCCTCTCTCCCCTTCCCCCGTCTTGCTGTTTGCGCTCCCATTTTCCTTTCTTGACCGTCTAAATCTTGGACCCGTCTTGCGCCACCTCTCGCGCCTTTTCTCTTCTCACCCTCTGAGTCTAGCGTACGACGCCCGGTCGATCCCCCGAGAACTCCCGCTCGCCAATCAGGTGCGTGGATCGATAGGACCTTCCTATCGCGCGATGAGTCTCATTGGTTGAACCTTGAGTTCCGAGGGATCAACATGGCATTCTCGGAGCGTTCTTCTCAAAGTCTTCTCCTCCTTCTCCTCCTACACCCCCACCTTCCCGTTGTTCTCTCCCCCTTCTATCTCCTCTGTCGCAACTATAAAACCCGCAAGCGCGCCCGCAAAGCTCTCTTACGTTCTCGACTCTCAAGCCAGCTTCCGGGAAGCAGTGGCTAGGCAGAGTGTTTGAAGCGAGTCGGAAAGTCCTGTCGGGCTGACGATAGACTGGCCGGTTGCGCGCTGGATCGCCACGACGAACTGTGGGATCTGGGCGAACCATGTCGAGTTTACGACAGCGGGGTGACGATCGCAGTGGTGGGAATTAGCACGCGACGGCCGGGATCGTCGGTGCGGGTATGAGGTTCGATGATTGGAGTTGAGTGAGTGATTGGCCCGGGGCCATAGTGAAATTAACGGCGAATGTGCCTTTGTTGCGGATTGTTATCTTTGGCGTGAGCGTGCGGCGGTGACGCCGAACTTTTCTCTTTCCGGACCTTGTCATCTCCTATTGTGACTTTTTTTCCCTTGACTCCCTCTCTCTCTCTCTCTCCCTCTCTCTCTTCTTGAATGATGATGCGTCTGAATGATTGTCCCTCTCTTGAGTAGGAATGAGTTGGCATCCTGCTTCTGTGTGAAAGAACTTCTTCGGGAACTCTTTCATTAGTTTCCTGGGTAATCCTCCTACGCAAGGACCCCGTCTACTTGTCTTGCGAATGATGGATGCGTGYGTATTGTGCAATGCGATCCATCTTTTCCTGTGCATGTCTCCTTTTCGCACCTTCCACAGTGAATGCATGTATAGAGATGCGTGACTTTTSGATTTGATTGGACGAGTGTCGTTGGGATTTTGTTCGAGAATGCAAGAGTGTTTAGATGTGTAGTTCCGAATGCGCTGCGCATACTATCTGCCTTATGCTACAAGACATCAGCAGCCACGCCACCAGGCGACCTTGRGAAACAAGGCGCCGGAGACCAACGTTGTGTTGAACTGAGTCGCGGKTCGGTCCCTTASCCCTATGCATGATCAAGCTGATGTGTGTCTGCTCCCTCGTGTGTCAAGAAGGATAGATTGAGGGTCGCATGAATGATTTTTGTTCTTAATGACGTCTCTAGATATATGTGATTAATTGATATGTGGACTGACAAGCACCCTTCGATTGGGCGTCGGTCCCCCGTATCCCCCATCCCAACGCGACCTTTTCCCTACAACGAGGAAAGGACACGTGTATGTGAGTGGGACGTACGGGAAGCCGTCGCACAAATCGGCGGGCACTATTACTTCCTTCCGGCCGACCGTTGTTCAGGGTTCGTAGACGCCGGATTTGTCATTATCGATACGCATTTTCCACCCTACTCAATATTGTTGCCGTTTAACGAGTTGATTGTCATTCCGTGGACGGCAGTGGCGCCCCATTGGCCCGGCACTCTGTGCACGGAGTGCCAGCGTTTCGATCGCTACGAAGGAAAGGGCTTCCACTACCGAATACGGAGTGAGGACGAGCATAAGGAAAGAGTCACTCGGCTGAGACCATCCACGTCGGATTCGGAACTGACCAGCGAACGACAACGAGATCTGATACGAAAACGAGACACGCGAAGCGTGCCAGAGCCTTTCCGTTCTAAACGACGGGCCGTAGCCCGGTGGGAAGCCCGACAGTACTTTTTTTATTAAATTTGGATCTTTCTGTTTTTCGCACCATGTACGCGCGAAATTAATCGACTTGCTTCATCGGACCATCACGGGGGATTTCAGTTTCATCCGTGTCCCCATACTCAATTTAAAAAAATCCTTGGCACACCCCATCTTGCTGTTTTTCTGGGCCTCTTTCCGCACGTCTCACACTCCGAACGAAAGACAGCACAGGGCGTGGGGTTGGTATCGGAGCCGACACGTGTCGGTTCTGATGATAGTAAGTCGAACTGGCGAGAGGTAGGAGAGACCCTCAACTAACTCGTTGGGATCGCCCAGTAACCCGGTCTCAGTCTAGTGCGGTTGCACCAGCAATACCAATGGTGGACGGTACTAGGGTGATCGTTAGCATCCCCGCCCCTTTTCCCTTCTTCCCTAACCATACCCATCCCGAGGCTTGGGTGGAAGCTGTCGAAGCTCAAAACTACAGCGCAACCGATCTTCCCCGTGTTTTGATATTACTACTTCGCAACACATCACATGACTGGTTTAGAAAACATACGTGGGTAGATTGGGATACTTTCAAGCGAGCATTCTTGACTCGATTCGATACGGTTAGTGAAGATGCCGCCTGGTACGTGCTCAAAAATCGACCCCAAGGACCAGGGGAACTGTTACCCGATTTCGTTGATCGATTTCAAACCACATTGGATAAATCCGGGCGAGACGAGAATTCCGCTCGAGACTTGTTTATTGATCACCTTCGAAGTCCGACCTTGAAAGGGAAACTGCAGAAAAAGGTTCCGCCGAAAACAACCCAGTTATCGGCTATCATCACTAAAGCATTGAAGCTAGACTTGGCTGATACAAAAAAATATATCAGCCAGGGAGACGAGGATATTATAGATACCATACGGGATGCAACGGCCAAAAGGCGATCATGGCTACAGACGGTCGAACGGTTCTATCCCCGCCCCGACCATGACCGTCCCGGCGGAATCGTCTCCGATATCCCAGCTGCTTCTCCTCCCTCTCCCCCGGTGAATCAATCAATCGCAGCCGTTAGAAACGGAACCCCATCTGAACCCCCCTCGCCATCCATACCCAATTTGCATCTTGCCTAGATGATCCATACGGCCACTACTAAGCAGTCCGAATGGATGAGTAACCTAATCCAAATGCAGGCGGCTCACATGGAACGAATGGAGCAGATAATGAGCCGGCTCATTAAGCTTAACTCGGCTCCTGCCCGACCTGCCCCTGCATCGTTTCCGCTCTTACCTGCTCCACCTGCTCCAGAATTCGCCTCTCAGTTTTCCCATCTCGCTAATCCGGCAGGAAAGATCGAGTGTTTTAACTGCAACCAGGCCGGGCATTTCGCCCGAGACTGTCCGCAGCCGAAACGTAATCAGCCCCCCCCTTGCTGCGGCCCCCGTCGCCCTTAATCAAGGACGAGTGGCCGCGCTGATGGACACGGACCCGGGAAGAGAACTCGTGGCATACGCCCCGAAGCAGCCTTCCCCTTCGACGACAATGGCGTCGACATCAGGAGCTTCTTCCTCTGACGCTGCTGACGTGGTCGATCCCCTCGAGTATCTCCATCTTGCCGGAATGATCGGAGCGATCCGATCGGCCCAAGATGATCTCGAATGGGTCGATGGCGAGTCCAATCCTGGACCACAGTTTCGGATAGGGGATATTGATGTACTGAAAACGCTCAAGCAATTAGATATTCGCATTCCTATCCCAGTAGGACATCTGCTTACCATATCTGAAGCAGCAAACGATAATAATTTACAACATTGTCAGAAAAATCAAAAGCGCTTCACCTATCAGCGCATACAACGGATGATGAAGAAGAAGGAGGAAGGTGAGAAAGTTGCGCCTCTTGAGCCAGACACAAAAGAACCTGAACCCGAAGCCGCMCGTATRGCARCGATCTCGTTAGCAGAAAAGGACCACTTCGTACGAGCTCGACCGGTACTATGGAAAAGTGCGGAATGTGACTGTGAAGTTTGGGGTAAGCCGTTTAACGCCCTTATCGACACAGGGTCTTCTGCAGTGGCCAGATCGTTAGATACTGTCAAAAAAAGGGGACGGCTTGGATCCATTCTTCCTCAATCTAGCAAAGACAACTATGTCTTTGTGGACGAGGAAGCAATGAACATCGTAGGCGTTATCGAGAACGTAGCTGTAAAAGTGGGACGAGTACACGTTCTTGTTAACGCGCTTGTAATAGATGTACGTTCCTACTCTGTATTGTTGGGATTGCCTTGGGCAATGGCGGTGGGCGCACACCCGCATTTCGATTCGAAGCAACTGGTGCTCACACAAACTGGAGGAAAGCCTCAGACTGTTCCTCTGGGGGTTTCCACCCGAACGATAAAACGGGTCCCTAACTTGCTCCAAATAGGGATGATCCGATACATTGATCCCGAGAAGTGCTCCCCCTCGCGCCTTGGGGATGGAATCAGGGAGCAAGAATACGAAGAAGAGATGCCCAGTGAAGAGGAACGGAAACATCTGGTTGAACTTTTCGAACATGAAACCCCTGAAGAATTTCGAGTGTGCCCCGACACCGCTCGAAGCTTCCACGTGGATTCTGAAGACAGTGCATTCACACCTCTAACAACCCAGGTCAGTCCTTCAGTCCTCCTCGGGGAACCCATGTTATAAGTCTTCGATCTGGCTGATGATTTGGAACCCCCTCGCACCTTGTACGAGGGAGCTCTTTCCTTACGAACGCGCTATCAGCAAACGGAACAGTATTTGGATGTCTCTGTTTTTCCGCCCAGATCGTTATTAACGACTGGAGCCACCATCGCCTTGATTAAACAAGAGGCGGAAGCACCGGTAAGTGACGTACCTAATCTAATGCAAGAAATGACGGATCTAACMGGGCTAACTGTGGAACCGACCTCGGTCGGTTCAGAAACCGACGCTGAAACTAAAGAAACGGAGACGATCAGCCCCGCTGAGTCCCAGATGATAGCAACTGTTTTCTCTGTGCACACAAGTAGTTCCGTTTTCTCTAGTGTCAATGAGCGGCGGGAGCGGCCAGTTGATTGGATCGATATCCCCCTTAAGATGTCCAGGGAATCAAGGATCACCCTCCCGAGTCACGTTCCCGCGGAACTACGAAAGTGTGTTAAATAGTTACGCAGATGTATTGAGCGTGCACGATAATGACATCGGCCTGACGAATGTGATCGAGCATGCTATTCTCACGGGAGACCACCCACCCATTAGCTGTGTTCCTGACCGATATTCGCCGGCTCAACGAGCGGCCGCTTTTCAGCGGATTAAGGAGTTCGAAGCTAATGGATGGATCGAACCCACTATAGGACCATGGTCTTTCCCTGTAGTAATCGTACCTAAAAAGGTCGGAGGGATTCGCATTTGCATTGATTACCAAAAATTGAATGATATCACGATCAAAGATGTGTACCCCCTCCCCCCCATTGATGAGTTGTTGGATGCGATTGGGAGTGCTCGATTTTTCAGCAAGTTTGATGTTCGCCATGGGTTCCATCATCTTCTTGTTCGAGAAGAAGATCGTCCGAAAACGGCGTTTGTGCTTTTCGAGGGTACATGGCAGTGGATTCGATGTCCGATGGGTATCTGCAATGCCCCTGCGCCTTTCCAGCGGGCCATGAACATGGCTTTTCAGAACTTTGTACGGAAGACTCGTTTGGCGCAGAGCATCATCAACTACTGCGTGATTGTATATATGGATGACATCTTGGTGTATTTAAATTCCTACGAGGGACACGTGTAGCACATCGAATGGGCACTGCAAGCGTTACGAGATGCAGGTTTTAAGGTGGCGCTCGAGAAGTGTCAGATTTTCCTCACCACCATTTCCTTCTTGGGGCATGTGGTGACAGACAAGGGACTCCAACTGGAGCCACAGAAGGTGGCAGCTGTCAGGGACGCGCCCGTGCCTACCACTATCACGCAAGTTCGCGCCTTTCTGGGCCTAGCCTCGTATTACCGAAGATTTATCAAGGGCTTCGCGGCGATTGCGGGACCTCTCACAAATCTACTGCGCAAGGATCAGCCGTTGATCTGGACGCCGGAATGCGATCAAGCGTTTTCCACACTTAAAGCCGCTCTCATTTTGGCTCCGGTCCTTATAAGACCGGATCCCGAAAAACCTTTTGTTCTCATCACTAACTGACAACCAGAGGTGATTTCGGCGATTCTTACCCAGGTGGGACCGAGCGGACTCGAGAGTGTGGTGGAGTATGCGTCCAAATCAGTGCCCGCCTGCAAGCGCAATTACGTCACTCCAATGGGCGAATGCTATGCGGCTCTCTGGGGGATCAGTCACTTTCGTGCTTACCTATACGGGCGAAAATTCACCCTGGTGACTGATCATGAGCCCCTGTTGGCTCTGAAGAAGTCGAAGGATTACTCGGGCATGATCGGGCGCTGGGCAACGATGTTGCAGAGCATGGACTTTGACATCCGCCATCGGAAGCACGAGAGACACGGGAATGCAGACGGACTGACACGACTACATCGAAGCAGTAAGTGGCACGAGGACTAATTGTTATGTTTTACCCTCCCTGCATCCTCTCCTCCTCTAACATCATGGCTACTCCACTCGCCTCCGCAACCCCTTCATCTCCTACTAATTATGCCCCTCTCACGTCCTACGCTTTCTTTGCCACCCTCCCCGATAAATTCTGTTATTTTTGCACGTATATTGCACGGGTTTATGGGGTCGACTGTTATCCCTTTGAGACCGGATTTGTCGATTGGGTAGAATGTGCCACGTGTGTCAATCATGCGCATGGGGCCTGCGTTCGATATCGGACGAGTAGCAAGGAATGGAGGTGCCCCCTATGTAGAACGAACAAACTCCCCACGGAGGTTCGATTCGAGGCCGCCCGTACAGACGGTCCCGAATACGATGAAAAATATCGACGAGCAGAAGTCTGGACGGATAAAATTTTATTGGCGAAATTAGCGGGATTATCATTGGGTCACCTCACCAAACACGACAGACGCAGGGCGACCGAGAGATCTCGGAACTATCGATGGATCAACGGTCATTTGGAAAAGCGTAAAACTGACGGATCGGGTTCGTGGCTAACGATTCCCCATCTCTTCCAGAGATACGATTGGATCCGATCTGCTCACGAGGAACAGGCCGCTCATTTGGCGATACGAGTCACGAAGGCAACTGTAAACCAGAACCGATGGTTCTGGTCCAATATACGAGATGATGTCAAATACATTGTCGCTAACTGTCTGGTCTGTGCCGCTGATCGCGCCCCTATACGGGGACCAAATACAATCGTACCAATGGAAGTCGAGCGTCCTTTTGAGCGAGTCAGTATGGACACGACAGGTATTGATGTGCCACCTGGCCCAAACCGTTGTGAATATTCTATTTTATTAGTATTAATTAACCACTTTTCCAAGTACATCGAGGTCTATCCCTGTACGACCCGAAAAGCCGCAGAAATAGCCACATACATCGAACGGTTCCTCTATACCCATCTAGATACGGAAGAAATTCTAAACGACAATGGATCTGAATTTAAAGGTGAGGTAGAAGAATTACTTGCGCGAAGGGGCGTCGCGCTCCGACATACGGCACCCCACGTGTCACAGTCGAACGGTTTGGCCGAGAATGTCAACCGTATGATTAAAAACGCCCTTCGCAGGAACTTGGCGGCACACAACACATGTCCTTGGCCCGAAATCGTGTATCAGATCGTCAGAATCCCCTCGTGAGTCTACGGGGTTTACCCCCTTTCAACTTCGAACTAATATCCTCCCCTATGTCGATTACCGGGGCAACTCGAAAATTGCCGAAGCAGGGGGTACAGACACGCGTGCGGCCCTCAAGGCCAAGGCCAAAAGGTACACCGATTTGATGGAACGGACCGTTCCGAAGCTAGCCCGAAAAAGACAAAGGATGACCGAGCTGGCCCACGGTAGACAGGTCCGTAGCTACGAGGTCCGGAACGGAAATGTTGGGCCCCAGTACCAATATAAATTGGAGGACCTAGTGCAGGTACGTAAATGTGCACGCGACCGGAAACTCGCTCCCAAGTTCTCTGGCTGTTTTCACGTTGTCGAACTCGGACCCAACGGCGCTAACACGATGTGCATCGCACCTGAGGCTAGCGCCAGTCATAGCTCCGTCCCCATCGTAAGACATACCTCCTACCTCCGTCTCCTTCCTCCTTCCGATTTTCCTCCCTCTTCTTCCTCGAAAAGCGAGGAAAACGACGACGATCTAACTCTCTTTCCTCTTTCTCCCTCTTGTCCCTCGTCCTCCTCGCCGACCTCGCCATGAGTTTTATCACGGAGAGGGTTCTCGACGCACAGCTGCGGCAGCCACGTGGCCACATCTCAGAGATTTGGCAAGTTTGTCACCCTCGACTCAATACGGATCTCCGCCGTTTGATGCGATTCTTCTGCGACAAAGGTATCTGCGCCGCCGCCTCGTTTCGGATAGAACGAAGCCCTCACGCGATAGCGTTCACGGAGGTTACTGTAGTTCATCGACGAGCGGGTCCCAGAACGAGCCACGTTACCACAGTGGCGGGATTCACTGGCGACATCAGCTCACTCAATCCGTTGCGGCATACCACGATCTTGGCCTCGCTGCGCTAGTGGACGGAGCAAGTGTCCAACGTGTGACAGCACGTTCTCGCCCGGGAGGGGTATAACATCATCCCGATCTTTGTATCGGACCTTGACGGTATTCGTCGATCACCGCGCGAGCGGTCAATTGCGATCCCGACCATCGTCCCCTTCCCCCATCCCCAATGAACCACGCTGCTCATCTCACTCCTCTCTCTACCTTTGGTCTCCCCTCTCTCTTCCCCATCTTCTCGCAATCCGATCTCCACCCTTCTATCTCCTTCTCGTTCGAACCTCTTTCGGTCCCTTTTATCAATCCTGGATATTGGCGGCTGTGGCGCGAGACTTTTGAGGAGTTGTCCTTCTGCCTGGCCCGAGTACAAGTGAAGTGGACGGGCACTATCGAGCACCCCACGTGGATCGAGAATCCGGAGCTGCTGATCATACAGGGTCAGAGGACTAACGCAGAGGGAGATCTTATTGGATTCCTCTTTGGATCGGTACGACCAGGTTGTCGTCAGTTGATTGCACAGGAGCTCATCGCACCAATCGTGCAATTGGCGGACGATCTCTCGCCCGACATCTGCTTTCAGAGCGACAACAGTCCTGCTCCGTACATTTTCGAGCGATCCTTGGATCCGTACCTTCAGTGGACTTCGTGCTTGGAGGAACCTACGGACGAAGATACGCTACCATCGCGGCAGCAGTATCTGAAGTCGTACGAGATCATCCCTTACGCCTTCTACCCGAGGGCAGAAGAAGTTGTGATCGACGACGACGAAGAAGAAGAAGACGACGACGAGGAAGCCTCGGAGGAGGGAAGCTATAGTGAATATAGCGAGGGCGAGCTGAGTGAGGAGGAACAGGAAGAAGAAGGAACCGGGTCCGAGTGGGAAGTCCCGCCGGAGGAAGCGACGCGCATGGGAACGGAAGTGGAAGATCCGGAAGCAGAGCAGAAGCGCGAAGAAATTGCCACCGGGAAGCGCCAGCTGGCCTTCGCTAGCGAGGCTAGCCTGCGCATCGGTAGCGATCCAACCAGGAATCCGGGGCCGCCGAGGCCCGAAGATGGCGACCCTGCAGCCGCCACCTCAAGAACCGCGCAACGGAGACGACGCCGATCCCCCTCCTCCTCCAGCCCCACCCGTCCCCTAGTTCGCCCATGTACCAATGCGGGCGATAGGCCTTCGACCTCGGATGCTGCCCCGCCGACCCCTTGATTTTCTCCCCCTCGAGCAGATCCGTACCCCAGTCACCTTCCCTTCCTATCCTTTCCATCCCCATCTCTTCCGCAACTTCTATTCTACCCGTCTACTCGTCACCGTCCACCCCCACGCCTCCCTTCAATCTGCCGCGCCCCACGTTCTGCTTGCACCTCCTGCTGTTCAGTGCTGCATGGGAGCAATCCAACGCCGTAGAAGTCTACTGCGTTGCCACGGGGACAATCCCCACCTGTCGCCACTTCGAGATCTTTCGAGCGGCGCTTTTCCACACCCTCTCCTCCTTCTATCGCAATTACCTCGCTTCCCTCCCCCGCAGTGGCGATCATTTCCCCCGCTTCCACCGGATCATCCGATGTGAGGAGCTCCCGGTGACGATAGAAGGGATGAATCGTTTCCTGCCCCCACTCCCTCCCCGCCATCCCCGCGAGATCCACGTCATGTACCGCCTCTACAAGCCTATTCCAACTAGGTGATAGATCCCCATGCACTTGAC